CTAGTTGGAATAGGTTGGGATTCTTTATGGGTAGGGGGAATAACTTTGCTGAACCTGGTCAATCGGTGGTTCGATGGCTCAATGTTTTCATTAGCTTTGGGAGGTATGCATTCTTTAGCTGGTAGGGGCTTACGTTTTGAATTGTTTCCCTTGTCGCAGACAACCGCCGGTTGATTGTTTAAAGAGTGACTGCAAAATACGGCAGTTTCCCTAGAGCCCTCCATGGGGACACATACTTGGTGGTTATTTACTAGGGAGCTGATAGTAGGACCATTAGTTGTGCTAGGGGCTTCGTCTGAGACAGTTGAGGGCAGGTAATATGATAGAGTGCTACTAATAACATCGTTGGTTTCAGCGTTTTTAATAACGTTATTAGATTTATTCTTAGGAAACGCTTTTTGTTCGAGTTCCGCCAGGCGTGACTTTAGATTTAAATTTTCACTGGTCAATTTACATATATCCTGTTTACATCTGTCAATGGTTTCCCTCTGCTCCGAAAGTTCGAAAATCAGGGCTTCGACCTTAGATTCAAACTCCCTTTTGAAAGTGCCAAAAAGTTTCTCTATAGCAGGCGAGTTGTCACCAACACTCGGGCGAGACGGGGTAGAACAATCAGAGGTTCGGGTAGAAGATAAATTGGCATTATCACTTAGCGGCAATATATTTTGATATGAAAAGTCGATAAAGTCTTGTAGATCTTCAAGGGTTGAGCAATCTGATGTTGTTTCTGTTACCTCGCTTTTAGATCTAGTATTGTCGCTAATCATAGATATTTTAGCTGTTTTGGCCACGGTTTGACTTGCATGTAACAGGTTATCGTTGTTTGAAACACAAATGATAGATTCATGACTAACTATACTGTCCGTAAACAAGTCAGAACTCTTACTTGATTGATTTAATATAACCTCTTTCAAACGGTTACCTTCTTGGCCTTGAAATAACAAAGATTTCTTGTTGGTGTAATATGTAATAGTTATTTTATCGTTTCGAAATGCCTTTGCTGAGCCTCTCGGCGAACTCCATTTCCCATCGGCACCAAACAAATCAAATATCAAGCATTTCAGTTCATCAAAATTTCCTAGCCATTTAATTTTCTTGTCAGGTTGCACTTGGAAGTATTCTTTATACTTTAACAAATTCTCGTAGGTTTTGTTGTTAGTTTCGTTCGCACAAACGTTGAGTATTTCACAAGGATCAACAACGACCGCCATTCTGGGGTATATAGCTATTGATTATCTGTTCTCGAAAAACACTAAAAAACAACAAAAGTGGCGAGTTTTGAAAGAATATATAAAAGAGAAGAGAATGCCATGCCAATATTCATCCAAACTATAAATTGGATAAGTATTTTTAGCCTATATTATTTGTAAATGAAGCTCTTTCCTTAAATAAAATGATTAAATCAAAGACTTTAGTTAATGGTTCTAACATTGATCCTAACGTTGTCACAACGTTCCTGCGAGTTCACAAAATAACGTTACTACAACGTTAATTTTCAACGTTTTCTGGACGTTAACCAAACGTTGCAAGAACGTTGAACCAACGTCGTGTTCTAACGTTAATCAAACGTTGTAAGAACGTTGAACCAACGTCGTGTTCTAACGTTAATCCTGACGTTGTCACCACGTTCCTGCGAGTTCACAAAATAACGTTACTACAACTTATAATACCAACATTATCTCCACGTTCGGCGAACGTTCGTACAATGTTGGCACAACGTAATTGTGCTAGCTGGGAACGCATCGAGAGCCAGTACTATGCCCTTGATGAGCAAAATTTTCTGCCATTAGACAGAGTAAGATGGTAAAGTACATTAGATAGTCTGATTAACCCATTGAGCAGTACTTGGCACTCTCACCTCTGAGCAGTACAATCAATCATCTGGCATGTTAAGCTGAGTAAAATAATTTGTTAGCACTTAAAAAGTTGAACAAACTTTTTTAGACTTGGCACATGTAAAATGTAGCGTTTAGACAGGATGTAAAACAGAATATATGTTGTCTGTATGTGTACAGTCTTACAGATAACCATAGCATTTTTAATGAAGGAACGAATATTGAGAAACAACCAAATATATCCCACTCACCATTCAGTAACACGATGGGCTTCCTCCACAACAATATCGCTTTTAAATTGTCGATTTTAATAAATATTAAAAAAATTTCATGTCCTCCAATAAAGCCTCTGCATGCGCAAATATTGTTTTACTGGGCCGGATTGCTGTGTGTATACAATGACTCTCCCAAACTATACATTGGGCTATTCCAATTAATATCTGCACCCCCCTGTTGAGGAACATCGGAATTTCCAGGGTGGAGGTCATTTTCAAATGCTTGGAATTTCCAAGGGATGGGCCTTCAGAAACTGTGGAATTTCCAAAGGATGGGGCCTTCAGAAACTGTGGAATTTCCAAGGGATGGGCCTTCAGAAACTGTGGAATTTCCAAGCAATGGGTTTTCAAACTGTGGAATTTCCAAGGGATGGGGCCTTCAGAAACTGTGGAAATTCCAAGGGATGGCGCCTTCAGCCTTTTTAGAAACAGAGGATGATGGGTCATTCAAGCGCATTTAGAATTTTTTCTGGCTATGCATGTTTTCCCAATGTCAGGCATTTTCTATCTAGTCGGTACAATTCCAGCATAAAATAGGCAATCTTGTCCAGACTAAGTGATCAAATTTGTTTTTATTTAGCTGTTTTTATTTATATATATATATATATTACTCTGTCTAATGCCAGACGATTTTACTCGTCAGGGGGGGCACTCAATGGGTTAATCAGAATATCTGCCCATGCACCCTGCTAACCCTTTAAGTGGAAATTCGCCCAGATGAGCCCTACTTTATTATGTTACTCTGTCTAACGTCATATTATTTTATTCTGTATAATGCCAGACGATTTTACTCCTTATTAACGTGGCTATTAATTAAAACTAGAAAATTTGAATCAAATGCAATTAACGTGAATCGGAGAGCCATTAGCATTGCAAACACCTGAATGCAGAACATAGAACTATATTATTAGGGAGTTTATGCAAGGTTAGCAAGCGACGTTTTTGTCAACACGGACGTCAGATTGCCGAGGGGGAGACTGGATTAAAAACAGTGTTTGTGTCAGTTTGTGGTAATCGTCAACACATATAATGACAAAACATAAGATTTTTAAAGCTTTTTGCTTTCTTACACGAGTGCTATGATGCAAAATGCAGTCAAAATTAGTTTAGCAATTCTCGTGTGACGTCTGTGTTGACAAAAACGTCGCTTGCTTAAGCTCACTAGTTATATTTTATCCTAACGTTGGTCATTGGGTATGAGTTTGGTTGAACTATGCCGAGAAGCACAAGTATTTAACAGAAGTCAGAAGTTAACTGTTCGTAATTTGCCTGTTGTATTTGTTGTCCTTTTTCTAGTGTTGTGTATGAATGAAGTATAGCACATCTTGTTCTACCATGTTATATAACCTTATGCCTGTATTGTATTCTAAAAGCTCACTCTCCAATTGTGGGGGTTCATTCTGAGCTTCCCCTGTCTCCTGGCCTTGACTGCTCGAGTGTCAGTGCTGTTTTTGAATAGCTGGAGGGTTAGTGTCGTACCTTACTATGTTACTATACTCACCCTCCAGCTATTCAAAAACACATTGACACTCAAGGGAAGCTCAGATTGAACCTCCACTCTTTGAGTGTGAGTGAGCTTTTAGAATACAGGCGTTAGTGTTAAATGGATGGATGGACTTAATATGTGATGTCAGTCCTGTGGTGGGGGGGGGGGGA